GCCAGGTCTGATGTGGGCGTCCAGTACCCTTAACCACACCGTGCCACCTAGCAGCCCCTGTCTCGTCTTTTTTTCTTCACATTTATTTATTTTTCCCATGTAGGAGAGGCAAAGAGAGCGCGAGAGAGACAGCACCCCCTGCCAGGGTCCTGATGATATGGTTAACCCCGCAGCTGCAGCCAGCCCCGGATCATGGGTACACGTGTGCCCAGCGTACTCAGGAAGTCTCTGGGTTTGAACCAGGAACTGTCCCATAGGGGACTGCCTTGCAAGGTATCATTGTTTACCCATGTGCCACTGTCTAGCGCCATCTGCTTTTTTTTAATTAGAATTGTCTAGTGGTGGGGGGTGGCAGGTGGTGAGGTGGTTAAAGGCTCTGGACTCCACATGGCTGATCACGGTTCAAGTCCCAGACCTGGTGGCTTACTTTCTCACTTTTCCGCTCTCTCTTTTTCTGTCTCTTTCTGATCAAATTGGAATATAATGATAATAATAAATAAAGTTAATTTTTTTTTTAATGAAAGAACTATCTGGGGCCAGCAGGTGGTGTGGTTAAGGCTCTGGAATTCCCACACGGCTGACCATGGTTTGAGTCCTGGTCCCAGTGTCCTTGCTTTTTCTTACTGTCTCTCTCTCTGTCTTTATCTGGCAAAATTCACGTGAAAAATTAAAAAAAAAACCTCTTAAAAAAAGATTTAAAAAACCTATCTAATGCTACCTCAGTGTAGTTTTAATTTGCATTTCCTAATGGCTAATGATGCTGAGTACTTCTTAGGTGGTCGATAGCCTTTCATCTGTCATTTTTAGTGAAAGGTCTAGTCACATTTTTTCCAACTTTATTTATTTATTTATTTATTTTAATTGACTAGAGAGGGACAGAGTGAAAGAAAGAAAGATGGTGCCAGCAGGTGGCATGGTGGGTGGGGCGCTGGACTCCCACATGGCCGACCGCAGTTTGAGTCCTAGACCTGGCGGCTTGCTTTCTCACTTTCCCTCTCTCTCTGTCTATGCCTCTCTGGTCAAATTAAAATAAATCAATTAAATAAATAAAGTTAAATAAAATAATTCTTTTTAAAAAGAAAGTGAATTAAAAAAAGGAAAGAAAAGGAAGAGAGAGAGAGGGAAAGCGAGCAAGCAAGTCACCGGGTCCGGGACTCAAACTGCAGAGGCCGGCCTACACAGGAAGGCTGTGTTTGCATCTGGAGACTTCCCTGAGCACACAAGGTGCGGGTGCCCATGATCTGGGGCTCGCTGAGGTGGGAAAGGGGGCGAAGTCCTGGTGTAAAACCCCTGAGGGAAGGCTGTCTCTCTCCCCCTCTCCCCGTCTCCCTCACACCATGGAACTAAAACAATTTAAAAAATAGATTGTGGTAGTAGTTACACAACACCATACATTTAATTAAAATCGTCAAATTGTATCTTACAATGGGGGCGTTCCAGATATGTAAATTTTACATCAATAAATCAGGTTTTATTTTGGGAGGGGCAGAGGTTTTTGCTATGGGGGTGTGCACTCGCCAGAAAGAGAGAGACAGCGAGATAGAAAGTGAGAAATCAACCCCCAAGGGGAAATGGCCATGTCGCAATCCCTTCTCCTCCATTCTCCTCTCGGGATCTTGGGCACGCACGCACACGAGCCCAGCGTGAGTTCTAAGCCACCAGGTCTGGGATGCGAACCGCGATGGCCTCGCAGTTTCATTGCTGGACTCCCTGCACGGTCTACTGCGGTTCAATTTCCAGACCCAGTAACTTCCAAATTATGTCGGGTGTGTGTGTGCCCAAGACCCTAGAATGAGAATAGAGAAGAAGGGATTGCAGTGTGGTCATCCTTCCTGGGGGTGATTCCTCACTTTCCCTTTCACTGTCTCTGTCTCTCGTTTCTCTCTCTGGTGAGCGCACTCGCCTAGGAGAAAAACCTTAATAAAAAAAAAGAAAATGCAAGTTCTGAGCCAGCCGGTGGCATGGCGGTTAAAGTGGCTGGATCCTAAATGGCCAACTGCATAATCTGAGTCCTGGGCCTGGCAGCGTGAAAGACATGCCTGGCACGTGTTCCTGCGTGCCCAAAATTCCGAGAGAAGAATGGAAGAGAGGGAACTGCAGTGTGGCCATCATACCTGGGGGTGCTTTCTCTCTCTCTCTCTCTCCCCCTCATTCTGGCCAGCACATGTGCCCTATGGCAAACTAAAGAAACAGTTTTAAAAAGAACAGAAAAGAAAATGCAAGTTCCAGGACCTTATCTCCAGAGATTTTCAGTCAGTAGACAGGGAGTGTCCAGAAATCTGCGCTCTCTCTCTTACTCCTGAATGAGGGCTTGTGTGCCTAAGTGAGGGGTGTGTGTGTGTGTGTGTGTGTGTGTGTGTGTGTGTGTGTTCAGGCTGACTAGCCTGGGGGTTAGAATCGCCCTTGCCTTGGGGGATCCTTCTCCTGAGCAGTTTATCAGTGCAGAGCCAGAGCCAGCCCAGCCAGAAATCTACATTTTTAACAAACATCCCCAGGGGATTCGATGCAAGATGCACTTGATTCTTTAGATCACACCTGGGGAGCCACTGGCCCAAAGGCTGAGATGGGGTTAACGCAGGAGTAAGGCAGATGGAAAGGGTAGTGATCCCCACCCCCAACAATGGGATCTGCTGGGTAAGTTTCCTCCTCCTTGACTGTCAGAGTAGTTTCTCCTAGCTCCTATTCACTCCCCTGCTCTGGGCTCATCCAAGCTCCCATAATCCTCAACTAAAGCCTAAACTTAATCTGAGTGGGCTAGTCTCTTAGTTGTTTTCTGGGGCAACTTGTCTGGGAGGCAAGTGAGGAAGGGTTGTGGAAGTGCATGAAGATTGTGTCTTGGGGCCAGCAGTTAGCACAATAGCTATGTCGCTGGACTCCCATGTAGCCAACCATAGTTCGAGTCCTGAACCAGGTGGCTTAAACTCATTCCAGGTGTTTGTGTGTGTGTGTGAGACCAAGATCCCACTTGGGGATTTCTCGCTTTCTCTCTCTCTCTGTCTTTCTGGCGAGCACACGCATCCTATAGCAAAAAACCTCTCAAAAAAAAAGATTGTTTCACGTAAGTTTCTGGGTTTTTTTGGTTTTTAAAAAATATTTTATTTAACTTTATTTATTTTTTTTATTTTAATTTGACCAGAGAGGGACAGAGAGAGAGAGAGAGAAAGCAAGCTGCCAGGTCTGGGACTTGAACCAAAACAGCCATGTGGGAGTCCAGCACCCTTAACCACCACACCACCTGCTGGCCCCCTTCTGTTTTGTTTTTTAAGAATCATTTTATTTAACTTTATTTATTTTAATATGACCAGTGGTGGTGGGGAGAGGGAGAGAGAGAGAGAGAGAAAGTGAGAAGGCAAGCCGCCAGGTCCGGGATTTGAACCCTGGTAGGCCATGTAGGAGTCTAGCACCAGCACCCTTAACATCATGCCACCTGTCGGCACCTTCATGTAAGTTTTTGACATTTTGTTTACTGTGTGTCCTGTATTTTTTTTTTCAAAGAATTATTGAAATGTCCTTGTCATGCATATATATTTTCTGTTTTTTAATTACCAGGAGCATGTGTGCTTGCCAGAGAGGGACAGAGAGAAAAAAAGCAGCACCCAGTGGGGCGTGGTCACACTGCAATCCTTTCCTCTTCACCTCTTCATCCTGTCGGGGTTCGAGGCACACATGCACATGCATCCAGAGTATTTTTCGGGCTGGTATGGCCTGGATTCCGATGCTCGGTGGGCCTTGTGTGAGCTGGATCCTGTGACCACTCGGCTCCAGTGCCAGCCCTGGCATTTTTGAAACTTGGAAATGCTTCACAGAGGTATTATTCATCTTGGTTACTGACTCTTTTTGCCAGTCTTAAATTTGACCTCACTCATCTTTCCCCAGTCCTGGATCTCTTGTGGGTCCATTTGGAAGCCCAAATCCGCCCCCCCCCCAGAGTCGGGGAGGAGAGGGTGGCTGTTTACATCAGTTCCTACCCTGGAGACCCTGGGACTAAAGGGGGGCCTCCAGAGAGGGATTCCCTGCCCCCCCAGCAGGCAACCGCCCACCCTCCTCTGGGGGAAGGAGGGTGTACTGAATCTCAGTTCACACCCCTAAACCACTCCCCTCCAGCTGTGGCTGCAGATCCTCAAACCTACCCTTATGTGGACCAGTCTGGCTTTTCTGCAGGGAGGGCCTCTGCAAAGCTGTCCCCGTGTGATCAGAGCAGACTCGTCCCTTTCCTCACCCACTGTCCACACAAACTTCAAAACCCACCAGTCACTCACTCAGCAAGTACCGTTATGCACCTGCGGAGCTGGTTCACACATCTCTGCCCAGAAGGCACTCACCGCGCCTTCTCCCAAGTCCTATGCAGATGGCCGCCCTTCCCAGCTGCAAAATATCCCTGTCCCTGCATCAGCTCTACCGTCAGTCCAGCCTGCTTTGTGTCTCTGAGACAAGCAAAACTGGAGGTGACAAATGTGGTCAGGAAAAAAGAGGGTCCCCACCTCCTCTCCGGTTGGCAGAGGCCCTGCCTGCCACCCCTGACCCACAGGGTGGCTGCAAGGTGGTCGATCTAGAAATGTACGTTAGGGCTGGGGCTTTGCTTCACCTCTCCGAGCTCAGCGCACGGAGTCAGCGGAGACTTTACATCCCAGGTCTGGACCCCAAGAGCTTCCTGGCTCCTCTCCCTGGCTCCTCTGGCCAAGTCGGAGGTAGGCAATCCATTTCTGGGCTGAGCTGCCTCCATTGCGCACGCAGCACTCCCCGCTCCCCTGCACAGAGGCCCTCGGGGTCATCGCCCGGAGGAGTTAGAGGAATCCGACGCTGACAGAAAACTAATCCGACCTCCGATGGACCGCCCAGGGGCTGGCGACCAGATCGGAGTCCCGCAGTGACCGCGCAGGCCGGAGGGAGAAACTGCCGGCTGCTTCGCGGGGACCCGGCATCGCCCACACACCCATCCGGGTCGCGACCGCGGGAGCCAGTTCTGCTGGCCTCCCCAAAGACCGGCTCCCCAAGCTCACAGCTCGGCAACAAGGCGCTTCCTCCGGCAGGAACTGCCCCCCACGTCTCCCCGCTCGCCCCGGGCGCCTGTCTCCGGCTGTGTAACCGACGTCCAGTCTGCAGCGCCCAGGGCGCAGCTCCTGCTCAGGGCGCCGGTGCTCGGGGTCCCACTCTGCCACCGAACGGCTGCGACTGCGGTCGCCTGGTGCGCACTCCCGAGTCCGCGCCGCCCGCCTGCCCGCCCGAGGGAGCCCGCGCGCAGCGCCCAGGACAGTCCGGCGCACACAGCGAGTTTGGTTTGAGCGCTGCCTTTGGAAATTCCCGCGCGCACCAGGACTCCTGGAGTTTGGGAAGCTGGAGATAAACCAACTCCAGGCGATTCCAGCCCCTCCTGACATCGAATCTCCCCCCTTATCCTCAGGCTTGGGGTTAAGACACACAGAGCAACCGTGATCCTTCTCATCTTCCCGGGATGGTTCCCAACCCTCCCCAAAAGGCAGGATCTTGGCTTCTCCCAGGAAAGCCGTGAACCTAGGCCCCCAGCTCCCTAAGCCCAGGCAGGAGTCAGGAACTGGTGGCTGTGTCCACTGTCACATCTCCAGTGAACCCAGAGGCAGGCTCCAGCCAGTGGCAGACCCGCTCTCCCATCCCTCCAGCCAGCTAAGAGCTGGATTCCCAACGCCTCCTCTCCCCCAGCTCGGGTGACACAGCCCCAATTCCTGGAGCCCACCAGTCACTAACTCCTGGGGCACCGTCCTCTCGTCTGTCCCTCAAGCCCCACAATATGCGCATGCAGGAAGTCCAGCCCACTTCCAGGTCCCGGTGACCCAGCCGCAGCCCCAGCTCTGGAAATCCAGCCTCAGCACCAACCCCACTCCCACCTAGGGCTTCCCCTAACGACCAGACGGCAAACAGCTGGGGCTTGAATCCACTTGTTTGAAAAACAACGCCAAGTCCCGTAGGGCCAGCGCCCGCCCTGGCACCTCAGGCTGCGGTGTGCTGCTGAATCCCTTCCGGGCTCACCCCAAATCTATGGGTTCCCCTGAGCCTGGCTCTGGCCACCCTGGTACAGCCCAAACTTGTCCCTCAGGTGGGAAAATCCACTTAGGCAATCTCACACCCCTGGCTTCTACTAATGCCCAGAGACACAAAAATATGCCTGAAAATACACAAGGGCCTGCGTACTTAGAGATCTTCAGGTACCAAAGAACAAATTCTAGGACATGACAGATACCTGCTTATCAAGACCCCTACACGCAGAGAACCGAGCACGAAGCACAGGAACGCATCTCACACACACTCCCAGGCACAGAGATGCATGCCCAAAACACTCAGACGCACAGGACTCACAGAACACTAACCCCAGGGCAGGCCCCAGCACACAGCCTGACACGATGTTCACAAACTAGCTCCCCTAATCCTAAACTACAGGAGGTTCAGGCGGAATGAAGATTCCCTGGAAAAAGTAGAGCCCCCCACGGCCCTGCTGGGAAGGCAGGGGCAGAAGGTGCCCACCAGGCTCCAAAATGCTGAGGTTTTGTAAGTGGAAATTATTTATCAAAATCAGTGGGAACAGCACTCCCATGTCTGCCTCTTAGGAAACAGGAAAGTGGTTTAACTCGTTCTGAAAATTAGCTTTAGATCCACAAGAACGTCCTGCCCTGGGCAAGAGAGCCAGGTCCCAGCACACAGCAGGCGGGCCAGGCAAATGGTTTGGGCCCATCCCAGGCCACAGGCTGGGGGTGTGTGTGGGGATGACCCAGTCTGCGCTGTTGCCCAGCCTCTGGCCGGGCCTGCAGCCTCCGCTGCCCTCCTCTGGGCTCGGAGGAGAGCCCGGCGCACAGGAGGCACCAGCGTCGAAGAGCATGGCCTGTGCGCCCCAGGCCTGCACCATCTTGCCCGGCCCTGCCCTGGCAGACGCACGCCATTCCTTACCTTTCTTGATCACGGACTGGTCCAGAAGGCTCATCCCCGGCTCATCCATGGCCTACGAGTAGGAGAAGGCGGCGGTGAAGGCTAAGCCCCGGCTGCCCGGGTCCTGGTCTGCTCTGTGCTCCGCCCAGTGAACCCGATGCACACCGCCGTCGCCTGGGGCGGCGACGGGCGGGACTAGGAATCACTGTGGCTCGGCACCATCTGCGGAGGAGCAGGAGCCCGGGGTGCCTCACCGAGCTGTGCGAAAAGGGAAGTAAGCCCGAGGCGGGGTACCGCACCTCTCCACGCCCCAGGCACCCGCTGCCCCGGCAGACGGAACGGACATGGTTGCCCTACTTGGCGAAATGGCCCAGCGGGCTGCAGAGAAATGATTTGGTCGGTAGGAGAGTTGCCTCCACCCGGACACCGCGCACGGACTCGGTGCCCGGGCGCCTCGATGGTCAGGCAGCGTCTAGCCCAGGACGAGACTCGTCCTCCTTGGAGCGGGTGAGAAGTGGAGGGCTCCGGCAGAAGTGGGTCCCCGCACCCGTCACGTAGGGCGTGCTATCCTCACGGCGCGTCCCGGCCCTCCCGGCCCCCTCGGGCCTCACCTGCAGGTCCTCCAGGCCGGGCGGCGCTGCCAGTC